GTAATTTATTTATTTTATACGGGACGCCAAATGTTCTGTATTTCTTTAGTTTCCTGTATTTGTCACGTATTCGGTGTTCCGACGCCTTAACAGCTCATTAAAATGGCATGCCTATGAACAAGTTTTAAGTGATGTTGGTATATAACCGTAATTTTCTTTATAAACAGTTATTACTTTCTAATATGAATGCCTGTGATTCGAATCGAATACATACAGTGGCCAAAATAGAACTTAGGACGCGATATTTTAGTAAGTTTTGACTATTTTTCCTTAGTTTATTTAATGTTTATTATTTATTTTATGAAAGTAAGGCTCTTTTCCTAACAAAAACCATATAAATAATACCAAATTACCAAACTTTGTGCAAAAAACTATAAAAATTAATTCGGCAATGTTTCACCAAAATTTCAAAATTTTTAATTAGAATTTTTTAGAAAAAAAAATCGGTTTGAAGTTTTGTAACTCATTAAAATTTTAAATTGAGTACAATAAAGTGCGAGTGGAAGGTGCTGCTCATTTGCTTCTCTTTCAAAGAAACAAAAAAAAAAATCCAAAAATGAGTGGTAGGTCTTACCGACTTAAAATTGCACTTTATTATACTAAAAATTAACAAATTATTTTAACAAATTTTACGGTGTAAAATACGGTCGTGAAAATTATCCTACAAATTTGTGATGTTACTATAAGGATACTGTTTCAGGGAAAACAGGGTCGAAAAAATTTGCAAAATAATTTGTTGTCCCGTATTCGACTCACATAAATATGGTCACCGTATGTATATGTAAAATAAGTTATAAAGAATTTTCTTTGCAAAAGCACACTGGATATTGTTCTAGCTACTACATTCCATTTATTTAAACGAAAACCAAAAGACAAGTAATACAATTATAAATCCTTTCCAGTTAATATTTATGTCATTGAGGTTGTATTGTCTTTTCTTCTATTCTATTTTGTAAACTCAAAGCAGACTGAGAGTAGGCGAGTTTATTAGGTTCTGAACATCTGACTGTTTATAGGGTTATATTTATGGTAATATTTTTTCTTCAGTTCACAACAATAGAAAATATGGAGAAATAATTTTAAACAGGTATTTAGATGCCTCGACCGCCATTAAAATTCCCCTCGTAAAAATTAAACGCGCTCAAATCCTTGTCGACAAATTTAAGTGCAATTCTTAAAGCACAAAATTATTGTAGGTAAAATGAAGTCATTTCACGACAAGAGTAAAGTGGGCTAATACTCACTTCAAGCGGAAGCTAAAAAAATAAAACAGAAAAAAAAAACTGAAACAGAAACACAATAAACAGAGTTTACTTGGCGATAAATGCATTTCAACCGGCGCAGTTTAAGCAGTTAGGCGAAAATGCAAAATTCCAACCCCGCAACGCAATCCGGCCAAAAAACGAGGGCAACAAACCGTTTTCGTCACAAAAAAGGGAAGATGCAAAACGAAAACGGAGGAAAGCAAAAACAAGCGCAGAAAACAAAACACTCCAGAAGTCAAGTGGACATGTGGCTGCAAAAAACAATTGCACCGCGGCAGAGGAAGTGAGGCAAAGTGCCAGCCACAACAGCTGCCAGAGCAGCAGCAGCAGAGCGTGCAACACTGGATCGGCGTTGGTGGCGGCAAGAACAGCAGCAACGGCTCTGGGGCAAACGGTCTGCGCGTAGTCATACATACATACATTCATACACACATACATACGGTACATAAAGTACAAGAACTGCCACAGTTACAAATGCATACATACATATGTACATATTGCCGCCTCAGCAGCGTCTAAGTGCATCTTGCCGCAGCCGCAATTCGGGAATGTTGCACAGCCAGAAGTGGCAAATTAAATTCAAGTAGCTGCAAAGATGATGATGACGTTGATGTCGACGCACACTGCTGACGACTGACTACTCGAGCTCAATGAATCTTTAGCTCGTTGTTGTTTCATTGTGTTTTGTTTTTCTCGCATGGCAAACGAATCGGGAAGAGTCGCCGTGGTGCACCAACCAATCGACGACCAATCTTTAGTCCAGTGAGATTTTGGCTGCGGTGACGTGGCTACCAGCACCTTTGC